GTTAAGTTTTGTCACTAATATGAAGAGCAGCTTCTGGTTGCAAAAGTTTAAAAAGGCTATTTTTTCATTTGTACTTTATCAAATTTATTTTTATAGGTTTTCTAATTTGAAAATTTTACATTAAACATTTTTAATTTATTTATTTTATGCCTGCAATTTTTTTTGAATTGTCTATTTTTGTTATTATGTTAAAAAATGTTTTTGTGTTGATAAGCCCGAGTGGTCTGTTGACTGACCTTTGTATTTGTTCACATAATTGTTATGGGCAGGTTACAATATAAAAATGTTTGTCATAATCGTGTGATTATTTGACAGGAGTTTTATTTTTAAACTGTAAGTGTATTTAATTTGGTGATGTTAGTTATGATAGTTTAGTTATGATGTACATACAATAAAAATTAAACCAAGATTTATAATAATTATCATTTTGATCCATACATTGGTAATGTTTGACTGGACCTCGTGTCACTTTATGTTCAACAAATTGGGTCCAGAGGTCAAAAAGKTTAAGAACCCCTGGTCTAATGCAAATGCCCCCATATCGCTGGGATTTATTGTATGTGGGAATTTCCCGCATTATAAAAACTAGATTTGCGGGGATCGATCATAATGTGCACAATCCTCGCAATCCTGCAGCGAATTTCAGGCCCTGGAAACATTTGAAAATAAAAACAGAATTGTATGAATGAAAACTTGTGCAGAGGAGTGCTACCTCAGAGCATTAGTCTGGGCCCTCTGCTGCGTCAGCTCTTCTGCACTGTGGACCAGAGCAGCAGACCTAACCTCCATCTCCTCCCTGTTCTCCTTGAGCAGACACACCTGAGACCTCAGGTCCTGTCTCTCCTGCTCGAGCTACACCCCCAAAACACACAGGAGGGCAGAAAACACAAACGTTGTAAGAAAGAAAGGTTTGAAGAGATTTCAGGACAGTTCCATCAGGCTCACGTTCTTCACAGTGACTTCCAGGTCCAGAATCCTGCGCTCCACTTCCTGTCTGTCTGAGAGAGCAGAAGTCTGGGCCACCTGTAGACCAACAGTCAGATGTTAATTACCATTGTAATAATTATCATTAGAATAATTAACATTAACATTTTTGGGGGGCACAGTTGTGTTATAAGAGCAACAATATTACATTTSTATTTGCCATAACCACCTGGGCCCCAAATTTTATTGTACATCTTAGACATTCACTCAAAACATTTTCATGACATTCACATATAGGAACTTGTGGTGGGCACTCATGGCTATGGGGGGCCGGATGGCACCACTCTCACCTCCTGTACCTGTGCCCACCCCCCAAGGTTTGCATATAGACATTTAGGGTTTTGGGTTAGAGTAGTGGTGGAGGGGAAACTGGCACCACGCCGGCCTCTGCCTCTTCTTCTTTCCCTTTTTAATTACTCTATAGAACAACACACCAACAGTACATCTGGGGGTGGGGGTGTCAGGTTCTTTATTCCCATCCCGTTCCCCAACTGCCATTTGGGGAAGGGTCCTGAACAAGGATGGGCCGCAGGGTGCGGTCCTGGGCTGTGGGTGGGCTCGGGGCTTGGACGGGTGATGGGGGCGGGGCTGGCTCTCCATCCTCCCTGGTGCTGCTTGGTCTCCTGAGGTGTGGCTCTTGGTTCCTGTGGGTGGCCCCCTGGCCGGGGTAGCTGCTGGGTTCCGGGAGGTGGTCGGCTGGGGGGGTGCACTTGGCCGTTGGCGGTGTGGTCATGGGTGTGGCTTCTCTGCGGCGGGGGGCTGGCCGGGCATCCTGGTGC